CAGGTCCACTAGCATGCTTTGCTTGGCCTATTTGAATGATTTGGCATCATTTGTTATGAGATTTTAGTTCATGTTTCATGTTCACGCACTCACATCCTTCACTTATTCCATGCTTTAAAGGGTTGGTCCTTTATGACTTAAACATGAGCCGTTGCGTATGCCTTCATGCCTAAGCTTGAGAGCTATCATTTCAGCATGTTTTTGGGGTTATTTTGCCATGATATAACTTTGATTTTTGTTGGTTAAGTCATCTCATGCTTAGCCTTGATAGGTGTAGTGTAATCCACCTTATTTGCCTTGCATACATCATGCCTTATGCCCTTCATGCTAGCTTGTTTTGGCCGCCTTCCATACATGTTTTAGTATCATTTTGACATGTTCTAGGACTTTTTTGGGTTGTCTTTGCCATATGCTTCATGTTTTGCATAGCTGTAGTGCAAATGCTTATGCTAGCTTTGAGTTTTGAGCACCATATCATGCTTTATTTGTGTTGTTTGGATGATTTGGCATCATTTACCATGACATTTTAGAGCATGTAGCATTTCCATGCCCTCACTTCATTCACCCTTTGAGTGCCTCTAAGGGTTGTACATTGTTGCCTTGTTTATGGCCTAGTGTGCATGCATGCATTCCTTGACCGTTGAGCCCCCATCTCAGCATGCTTTGGTCTTTGTTTTGACCTACTTGAGCTCTGTCCATAGTTGGTTCATGCATTTGTGCCATGTATTGCATGCCCCCTTTGTAGTCCTCTTTACTAGCTTCACGCTTTAAGGACCCTAGCATGCCATGCTTATGTTGCTTGAATGATTTGGCATCATTCCTTGCCTAATTTTAGTGCATTTAGTGTTGTTACACTCCCACATTTGTCACTCTTTGAGCACTCTTGAGAGTTGTGCTCTTAGGCCTAGTTGATAGGCCAATGCATTGAGCATGCTTGTCCTAATCTTCATGCCTTAGTTTCATCGCCATGGCCACTAATTTGGGCATGACTGAGGTCTGTCCATTTTGGTTTAAGTCCATCGAGCATGTTATGTGAATGTTGTTACATTGCATTATGCTGTTGCATGCTTATGTTGCCTTGCATTGTGTATGCATGCATTAGCTTTGTTAAGTTGATCATGCTGTTTGCATTGAGTATGCCATGTTGTTTGCATTGTGTATTCCATGTTGTTCTTTGCATTGTGTATTCCATGTTGTTCTTTGCATTGTGTGTGCCATGAGGTTGCATTGCATGTTTGCATGCTTAAGTTGCATTGCATGTTTGCATGCTTGAATTGCATTGCATTTGTTTGGATTAGGTGTTAGTCCAAACCCGAGGAATGAGGGACGTTTCATACTTTAAGTGATGAAATGTGCCTCAATTCTCGGTCGCCGACACTCTTGATCACAACATGATAGAGTTATAGGCCTTTATGTGTTTACTTGTGCATTCATTTTACATTGAATTGTGCAATTTGGCTTCTCAGCCATCATGCATCGAGATGCGTGGTTGGTGGCCCAAGGGTCGAGAACCGCACTCCCTTGAGCTTGTAAAATGATAGGGAGGGTGGTTGTGCACACATATCTTGCAAATACATTGCCATGCCCTTTCTTGCTCTCTGTTGCAGCAAACTGGAGAAGAGCAGCAAAAACTGGTCGGCCTACCAGGAAGACTAGCTGGCCGACCACTTTTTCTAGTCTACGGCTATGGAAAGTGGTCGGCCAGTGCACTACAACAAGTTGGGTCTTGAATGACAAATTTTTTTTGTCTCCAAAGAGTTAATTTCGTCACTATAGATATTTGTGAGGAAATATTTTCGTCACCAGTTTCGTCATTGAATGTTCGTCACTAAAAACCACGGTGACAAAAAATAATTTCGTCACCAATGAAATTACTTCAGTGACGAAATTTTTTGTCACGAATAAAACAAGATTTTGTCACAAAAAATTCTCATTTTCGTCACCAAATAATTATTAACTACCATATTTATAATTTTAGTTGACGAATAAATTTGTCACACATGTTGATCATTGATGAGGAAATAATTTCGTCACTGTAAGATGTAAAGGTGACAAAATTTTTTGTCTCTAAAAATCAAATGGGTGACGAAATATATTTCATAGCAAGAATTTATATACGTGACGAAATTTTTAGTCACCAAACAACAAAATCAATGAAAACTTTTATATATAATTTGCAATAAATTTTGTCATAAAAACTATTTATTAGTGACGAATAATCACTTTGTCATAATAACAAGCACAAATGACGAAACAAATTCGTCACTAAACTTGTTCCATATTTTATATTTCAATTTAAATTATTATTTCACAAATATCTCTGCTCATATCCCAATAGTCTTTTAAATATGCTAAGAAATCGACTAGCTATTATACACCACTCCACAAAAAAATTCACCAAACAATTGTATTATAAATCAAAATATATCCATCAAACAACTTTAATAATAATCCATTAAGTATATCAAAAAAATCATCAAAGCAAATCCCAAAATGAACTAACGTGGAATCCACACCCAAATAAAAAAAAAAAAAATCAACATTCAATCTTGATTTGCAAGTACAACTAAGCATTAGTTCAGTAAAAAAAATAATTCAACACTTGATCTTGATTTGCAAGTATGCTTCCAGACGTCATCAAAAACCAATCTGCAAAGAAAATAAATAAGAAAAATATTAACATATTACCAATTACATTATATAGACCTCTCTATCCATGTCAATACAAATTGTGTACACAATGAGTCTAACTTAACAACCAAAAGTTCCTTTGTACATGGCAAGCTCCTATTAATCACATCACTAACTTAGAGCAACTCCAACACTGCCTAGCAAAAATACACGAGAGTAAACACATAATTTTGTCTCTACTTTGAAAAAAGTTCATTTCCATGCTGTAACTGTATCCTATGTATTAGTGATAGTCAATTTTCTTGTCTTACTAAATATAACAATAAAAATAATAATAGTAATCAATACAGTATTTGTCAAAAAGTGTTAATAGTCAAACTGCTTATTGTTAAATTAGACTCTCTATACCATTTAGCAACCCACTATAGTCTTAGCAACACGGACACAAATAAGCAGTGTCCATGTAGAACACTGCTTCAATACCTACACTTGGACACGCCTAGAGACTTGAGATACTTCTTGGGTGTGTACATTATTTAAATATGCTTTGCAACTTTGGGGCATCGGCTAACACTTACTCAAACACAAGGCCAGCAATTGTAGCCATACGAACTGTTTGGATGATGGATTTGAGGGGGATTTGCAAAGCCCTACTCAATTCCAAATCCAAATCCAAACATGTATCCTAAGGGATTGGTGGGGGATGGTGTTAGAGATGGTGTGTTTGTGGGTTAAATAGTGTGATTAGGGAGGGGAAGAAAATGCAGGCGTATATACATCTTTGAGGACATGTTTCTCTGAATGTATGCCATGCCATTGTGTTCAAAATGTGAAAGCAAAAAATATGGTTATTGGCAATTTAACACTGAATTGGTAGGTTTTGGGACTCCTTGTTGTGAGCATTACAAACACCAAAGCTCCCTAAGGTAGAAAGGGACACAATTATTTAAAACCAAAAATTTACCCTTCCTGCCCAATCTGCTCTTGCCTGGAATTCCTTCATCTTCATTGATACTAGAGAAGAAAAATGTGATAAACATTAGACAGTTACCTAGTCATGAAGAGCTCTACTACGTAATACTCATCATGATTTGTCAATTGCTTAGTAAAATCTTAATATTATCATACGTCTATTCTGGCTACAATGATTTCAAGGCTTCATCTAAATACTCATTCATATAGGTGACTAAAAGTAAAAATGGTACATAATCGGTGAGACTAGTTTTTTCATATGAAAAGAAGTTTTTCAAAGAAAGATAACGAAAAGAAAAAGAAAAATATTAGCCTAAATATACCTGAATAGGTCCTAAGTTTCTTCAGGAGCTTTGATGTGGGTGCAACAGGTTTATCGAAATGATATTTGTGTTTCTAAATGATTGTTATAGCTAAATGATATTTGTGTTTCTAAATGATATTTGACTCAGCTAGTTGTGGTTGTTATACCTAAATGATATTTGTGTTTCTAAATGATATTTGACTCAGCTAGTTGTGGTTGTTATACCTAAATGATATTTGTGTTTCTAAATGATATTTGACTCAGCTAGTTGTGGTTGTTATACCTAAATGATATTTGTGTTTCTAAATGATATTTGACTCAGCTAGTTGTGGTTGTTATACCTAAATGATATTTGTGTTTCTAAATGATTGTTATAGCTAAATGATATTTGTGTTTCTAAATGATATTTGACTCAGCTAGTTGTGGTTGTTATACCTAAATGATATTTGTGTTTCTAAATGATATTTGACTCAGCTAGTTGTGGTTGTTATACCTAAATGATATTTGTGTTTCTAAATGATATTTGACTCAGCTAGTTGTGGTTGTTATACCTAAATGATATTTGTGTTTCTAAATGATATTTGACTCAGCTAGTTGTGGTTGTTATACCTAAATGATATTTGTGTTTCTAAATGATTGTTATAGCTAAATGATATTTGTGTTTCTAAATGATATTTGACTCAGCTAGTTGTGGTTGTTATACCTAAATGATATTTGTGTTTCTAAATGATATTTGACTCAGCTAGTTGTGGTTGTTATACCTAAATGATATTTGTGTTTCTAAATGATATTTGACTCAGCTAGTTGTGGTTGTTATACCTAAATGATATTTGTGTTTCTAAATGATATTTGACTCAGCTAGTTGTGGTTGTTATACCTAAATGATATTTGTGTTTCTAAATGATTGTTATAGCTAAATGATATTTGTGTTTCTAAATGATATTTGACTCAGCTAGTTGTGGTTGTTATACCTAAATGATATTTGTGTTTCTAAATGATATTTGACTCAGCTAGTTGTGGTTGTTATACCTAAATGATATTTGTGTTTCTAAATGATATTTGACTCAGCTAGTTGTGGTTGTTATACCTAAATGATATTTGTGTTTCTAAATGATATTTGACTCAGCTAGTTGTGGTTGTTATACCTAAATGATATTTGTGTTTCTAAATGATTCTATTTGTGCTTTACATAGGATTGACAAAGACATGTAACAAAACAAAGGACAGCTTCCTGTACAAAGTACAACACATAAAAGCAATTAAGAATAACTCTCTCTTCACATTATTGTCACTTGTCAAGCTAGTCTTAGGTTTTTGGCAATAAAACAAAATGTAAACGACTGAATGGCATGGACCCCTTTATGACAAAACAGAGGAATTCAATCTATGAACTACCATCTAATTAAGCTACACCATAGTGGAAGATTAGGATCTCTGTCATTGTAGTTGTGCACATGTGAACAACTCATTGCAGGCCTACAGGCCCAAGATGGACCCTTGTTGATTGGGATTCAATTTTGGATTGTAGAGCCTAGTTAAATTAATGGCATGATTAGAATCTATGAATAGAGGGAGTAACCTTTGGTAACATTTGCACTTGCAGAAAGTAACTTCCTACAAACTTGAAGCAGCATTCTCACACTATGCAGTAAAAACAGAGTAGCATCTGATAGCCACTTCCACAGATAGATATAAATATGGGGAAGCATTATTGCTAGTAAAACTTTTTAAGTTCTATTTCTTGCTAAATTTCCTAGGAACAAAAACTCAAGCAATAATAACAGATAATAAGGAATGATGCTTATTGATAGTGCCTTTGCAGCAATAGATTCCGTTGTATGCTTCCTTCATAGATCAGCTTTCCGAGCTTCAAATTCCTCTCTGCTCATGATGGGGGGGTCCAAGATCATAACACGTAACATAGATCATACCAAGATCTCAAACATGTTAGATGGAAAAGATGTTTACAAGACAGTCTCTTCGCCTTTGCCATTGGTTCCTGTCATTTGCCCACCCATCAAACAGCTTGGAGATTAACAAAAAATCAAATAGGGAATTGAGAATGAACTAAGCTAACAAGCTCACCCTACAAATAGCACATTCATCATCATATGCTTCAATCTCCTCAAGTGTTGCATCTGGAAGTGCTCCATGAAGGATGCCTAAAGCTATCTTCAACCTAATAAATCATTTGATACGTTTTACAATTGCACCTAACAAGGCCTGGTCAATAATATGAAGTGTTAAACAAAATAAACATGAAATAATAATGTTGAAAAGTCCAAGTCAAATGAATGTCAATATATTGCTACAAAAAAATAGTGAGAAACTTTACACATATATTTAGGAAAAGAACTACATCCACAAGATGAAATTTCATGCCATGAAGCCACCAATTATGCACATAATGGCAGAGTGCCATCAATAACGTCATGATGTCCAGAAGAAAACCCAAGTTCCATATGAGAATGCCTTTCCATTTATAGAATGAACCCGCACTCAAATTTGTTAAGTTACAATAATGACAAATCCAATCCACAACAACAATTAGAAGTACCCTTGGTCTTTAGCAACAGCATCAACAATAACAATAGAAAACAAATGATTGCCAAGAATCATGGAAAGCCATGGTCTTAGAAAGAATTAATAAATATATAAACATTGCCAAGACAACCCACCAACTAAAAACATGTCAAGTTAAAATAATCACAAACATATAAACCTTTAAGAAAAAAAGATAGAGATTGGTGCATTTTCTTGACATTGACACTAACTGAGCAGGCTAGGCATAGGTAAAAAGGTCCTGTAGAGCTTTTACTATTGCACCAAGCAACAAACCCCCTTACGTTTATAGGAAGGAAAAAAAAAAGAGAAAAGAAAAGAAAAGAAAAGAAAGGAAAAGAAATTAAGAAAACTATACAGTGCCACGCTTCACAAAACACATCTTCTTTCAAGATCATAAAATACTGGCTGGCTTAGAGGAAGAAAGAAAGAAAACAACAAAATAAATGCAGCACTAAATTTTTTTTTCTTTTATGAGATATAAGTGGACAAGAAAAAAATGGTAACATAGTTGGCTTAACATGTTTTACCTGTTCATTCAAATAATTTTATTTTTATATGGGGAAAAGGGAAAAGAATATAAAGAAAACTACAGTGCCATGCTTCACAAAACACATCTTCTTTAAAGAACAGGGAATACTGAGTTAGAGGAATGAAGAAAGAAAACAACAAAATAAATGCATCGCAAAAAAATTTGGGAGCTATAAGCAAATAAGGAAAAAGTGAATAACGGGACCAGAAAACATGAGAACCCCCAACCACTTGGTAACACAACAACAAAATAACATGGCTACATAAAAAAAGTTTGCAAACAACCTGCTATTGATATATCAAGGAGTTTGGACCTTTGGCAATTTGTGTTGTTCCCTGTCGAATCATGGAACCATATATTGAGCAATTGAAAACTATGAATCAAAATCGCCTACAAAAAACAATTTGCAGACTAAAGAACCTTCAGCCTGTGTTTATTATATGTTCTACGGGAAAAATGTTACATGATCTATAGATAGATCTATCCATTATGAAAATGAAAAGACTTCCCAATAAAAGTACTTGTAATGTCTCAAAAGCAATACTAAGAGGCTTGAAAAATAACAACAGAAACATATACGATTCTAATGTTCTATATATCACTAGACACATCTTTATCCTGTAAGCAGCCCAAAAAAAAACAAGAATACGTAAATGAGAAATTTATGAATAACCAAAATTGGAAAAGGGAGGTGAAACTAGCATGGACATTAACTCTTGTGATTCGCAAGAGGGGAAAGTTTTAACATATTACCAATTACATTATATAGACCTCTCTATCCATGTCAATACAAATTGTGTACACAATGAGTCTAACTTAACAACCAAAAGTTCCTTTGTACATGGCAAGCTCCTATTAATCACATCACTAACTTAGAGCAACTCCAACACTGCCTAGCAAAAATACACGAGAGTAAACACATAAT